CACCACAGGCTCATCTACTGTGGAGTAGCCACAGAGAATCCTGACGAGTGGCCACTGGGCAGGGCAGTGTTAGCAAAAGGAGGCCGGCTGAATGCAGATGGGGACACGGCCTTTTCTGGACTCCCGGGGGAGCAGCAGCTGAGGAGCAGCACAGGAATTCAAAGGCCTTGGCAACAGTGGAGACCCCTGACTGCTGGCTGTGACAGATCAGAGCAGCCGCACTAGGAGACATGCCACTGGGACTGCCACAGACCTGGGGACAGTGGAAACTAGAAAGTCCTCCTGTTCCCAGGTGAAGGTCTCTTCTTGGGGACCTGTGGCCTTGTTTGCCATCGCTGCTTAGTTGCACCCTGCCTGCTGGCTTAGAAAACAAATCTGGGGCACATGTAGGGGGTGGGGTGGGAGAGCAGGGCTCAACAACTTCCCCAGGCAGAGCAGCCCTAGCTCCTCTACGGATGCCTGGCGGATGCCTGGCGAGGATGGTGTCTGACCCACTTTGAGGGGAGTGTGGGGCTGGAGAGCAGGAGGTGTCAGTTCTGAATACACAAACAGAGGGGAGGAAGCCCTACGGGTTCATGACAGCCCAGAGGAGGGCGGTGGTGCTCCACAGCAGCCTTTATTAGAAAGAACTGTGTTTTTAATAACACCAACGGGGCGCACTGAGCTGAGCCAGCTGTTGGTGAGCCGAAGTGGAAGGCATCTGTGCAGGAGCGGGCAGGTGGGTGGGTAATGGGATTGGAGTAATAAGTCACGACACCCCCCCTCTGTCTAGCCTGAGAGCTCCCATGGGGCAGCCAGCTGGGTAGGGAAGGAGCCCCCAACAGGTCTAAGTCTTGTTGCTTAGGGCTCAGGATGGAAGGTCTGGTTGCTAGGCCTGTGGGAATGAAGGTGCTCTAGCTGACTCACATGTCCCTGGGCCACCTGATGCTCACTGAGGGCTGAGACTGAAGATAATTCCACAGGCTGGGGTGCAGGGACTACAGCTGGGTATGTGGGGAGGGGGCAGAAGAGATCCTGGGCATTGCAGTTTGTTTTTGAACATGGCTGAGGTAATGTCCCTGACCTCACAGCCAGTCCCAAGGGACGTTCATTCTGGGACAGCTGACTGTGCTGGCAATAAAGGTGATGCCCCTGTCTCAGCGGTTCTAGTGAGCACCCTCCACTCGGTCTCACTGTATCTTCACAGGCCTCAGTGAGGCAAGGCTTCCTTGCCACAGCACAGAATCGGGTTGGAGAGGACTGACGCTTGGTCTGTGTGCAGTAGGAGAGGGTGCTATTGGGCCATTTCAGGGAGCAAGGCCTGTCTGTGATGGCTGCCTGGGAGAGCCAACTGAAAGACCAGAGGCTGGCAGGTTGGTGTACACTGGCCTGGAGGATAACCTCCTTTACTGGAGACAGCAGAGAGTCTCCCTGTCCTGGTAAACTCAGAGGCATTTAATAATACCCAAGTCCCCTCAGGGCTGACGTGATGGCTCAGTGGTTAAGGCCTCTTATTGTTCTTTGCAGAGGACTGAGGTTTGATTCCCAGCACTCACATGGCTGATAACAACTGTCTGAAACTCCAGTTACAGAGGATCTGATGGCCTTTTCATACCCTCTGGAACCAGGCTCTCACATGGTGTGTGTGCTCGTACACACATGCAGACACACACACAGGCAAAAACATCCATACACATTAAAAAGAGAGATCAAAGCACCTCAGACGGGACAGTGTGGCACGAGAAAATGAATCCACACTGGAATTTATCACCTATATTCTGACATTTCCCTGGACAACTGGCTACTGTAAAGGCCACCTAAGCCTGCAAATACCACTGTGGAAGCACAAGAGACATAGGTAACTACCGAAGTGAGGGCAGGCAGGAGAAGCCCCAGGGAAATCCACCTCAGGCTCCTGGGCACGACTCTGGGGGCCTGAGACCGACCCCGGCTTCATTTCATCACATGGCAGAACAAATTCCTAATTAAGCGCAAGAAACCTTCCGGCTCAGTACACTTATTTATTCACGATTTTCCGGTCCCTTTGGTGCCCATTCTTTCTCCTGTTTTCTGGAACCCAGGCCAGCTTACTGCCTCCCTGAGCTCCCTGCTCAGCTCTTGAAAAGGAACAGCACTCATTTGGGGAGAGGGGAGAGAGAGGGTGGGTGTTGGCAAAGTGTAGGAAGGAGGGAGGGGAGGACGGTCTTGTGGGGCTGCACCACACAGCTGCTTCTCACAGGCAGAATGACAACTTGGCAAAGGCTCCTGAGGACGCCTGAGATCACTGCCTGAAGGGAGCCCTAGAAAGACTCCCAGGGGAAGAGTTGGGTTCAGGGGAGAGATTCTCTTACTGTGGCCTGGGGCTTGGTTTGGTAGGCTGAGGTCCTTTCCATGAACTGGACTGCCTGTTTGGTGTGGCTTTGGGGGATTCTGTTGCCTAGTTCTCCTCCACTGAGCAAGACCTGGGGTTAGGTGGAGGAAAACACCGGCTTCTGGCTGAGAAGAGCTGCCCTGGCATTTCCTGTGCCCCAGCTGGGAGCTTAACTACGCCCACTACGGTTTAGCTCACTTAAGGGCAATTTTCCTTTTCCTGGGCGGCTCTGTCACTGGGACGCCCAGCCTTTTAAGTTCAAAGGTCTGGCTGAGTATCTCATGGAGAAAAATGACTGCCTTGTGCTCTGTCACCCACAGCAGTGTGCCCGGGAGATTCCTGATATTTGATTATCTCTCAGCTCCAAGGGAGAAAGAGAGGTGAAGGCAGTGAAGACTGCAGCGTAGCTAGGAAGGGACAGGCGAAGACGCTCCCTGGCTGCTCTCTGCTCGGGCTCCCACAGCTGTCCACTGTCCCACGCAGACCTCAGGACCACTGCCTCCTGCCCTGCAGTACACGGGAGCTGCTAGGAGGCCCCGGACTCTGTGCTCCTGTGTCCAACTTTTATGTGGGGCGGGGGTGGGGGGGGAGCCAAACCGAGGCTCTCAGGATCCTATGGCTCATGCTCTTTACGTCCTGAGCCACCTCCCTAACACAGGCAGTGTCTGTCCTGACTCAGGGGAGGGTTGGTGGTAGGATATGGGGCTTGGCAGTGTCAGGAGCTCTGCTGTGACCCTCCCCTGGCTCTAGGACTCACAAGAACGTTGACTTACTCTTCTTACCTCTCCCCTTCCTCACAAGCTCTCCTTCCTCTACCCCCTTTCTCTCTCTTTGAGACAGGGTCTCATGAGCCAAAGCGTTCCTTTTTCTATATAGTTGAGATTGACCCTTCAGCCACTTCCTCCTAAGTGTGAGGCTTATAAATCAGTGCCTCTACACTGGGCCCAAGCTTCCCTCTTTAGATGGAGACTGTTAAAAAATATAGAAGTTCAACTGTCATTATTAGGGTTGCTGTCTCCTTATGGACTCCATCAATCTGGTCAAAGCATGTGCCACCGGCTGCCACTCCCTCTCTTGTCTCTCAGTGTCATCCCAACATGGCAAGAAATGAGAAAGGGCTCAGCTTCAGGTCAGAGCTTAGAGAACCCTTCCCAGGCCAAAGACAGGCAAGTACCAGCAGGACGGGGCTAGGGTTGCAGACCCAGCCTTAGGGAGCGAAAGGAACTGGGCAAGAGAGATAGGTAGGTGGGGACAGAGAACATTCCTCTCCAAACCCTGCCCACAAAACCATTGCCACCCTGGCTGCAGCTCTCACATGGCCCGTGAGACAAGACACAACAGACAGGGAACAGACTATGTTCTGACCCCTGTCAACCCTGACACCAAGCCCTCTAGGGCTCCTGGATTAGAGAGGTATTGGGGGCTGGCCCACGCCTATGTTGCTGTAGCTGGGGCAGGGCAGGCTGTTTGAGAGGATGACCCACCTTCTCACTGGAAGCCACTGGTTTCTCTACAGGAGATGGAGGTGGAGGGGTGGAGGGGTGGAGGGGTGGAGGGGAGGGAACCAGAAGCTAGAAGAAGCCCAACACCATTAGTGTGAATGCCCTTAGCAGAATCATCATCCCGCTGGGGCACAACATGGAATCAGCAGCAGTCTGCAGCCCTGGTTCTGATGGGGGTTAAGGAGGACAGCTAGGAAGAAGGAGCCCAACTCAAACTGCTCTGTGCCAGGGGCTGGGGTGGAGGCTTCAAGACTCATCCATGTAGCCAAAGCTGTCCTTGAATTGACTCAATTTGTAGCTAAGTGAGACCTTAAACTTGGATTTCTCCTCCTGCTATCTCCCGAGTGCTAGAGTACAGGAACATGCTTCCATATTTGGTGCTGGGGACCAAACCTAGGCTTCTTACACACTAGACAGGCACTGTGCTGACGTATGTCCAGGCCCCACCCCTTTTTAGCTTTGATACTGAGAAAGTCAGACGCACAACAGATAAGTCAGAGGAGAGGCAACGGCAGCCCCACCGCTGATCATCTTCAGTCCTGCTGGAGCAACAGCTGGCTCCCTCCCGGATGGAGGTGGCTGGCATGGCAGAAGTGAATAGGTTCCTGCTGTTAGCCCAGTTTAAGGGGGAAGATCCCCAACATCTACCCGAGGACAAGAGTGCTGTGACTCGGGGTATCAGTTAGCTAGAAGCTAACAGACAGTAGGAACATCTTCTCTCACTCTGGTGGTCTAAGAGTCAAATGCTCAGAGTAGCTGTGACCATGGCCCACTGGGTTTTATGGCCTTGCCAGACAGCACATCCTTGAGAAGGCAGAAATGGTGTTCCTGTCCCCCTCCAGGGGGCACAGCCCGACCTAGCATGGTCATGTGAAGGAGGCTGGACCAGAATTAGCAGTTCAGGTCCTAGCCCAGTTCCATCCACTCAATGTGACCTGGAAAAAGTCACTCATGTGTTTTTTTTGCTACTAAATTTCCCCAGCAGTAACAGGCGACGGAGCACCTGCTCCTCCTTGCCCTCTGGAAAGGTTGGAGAACCAGGCAGGCCGACTGGACTGAGCCACTGCCTCGTCCCAGCTGGGAGTTTGCCGGGCTTCTCTGCAGAGGTGGAGGGAGGGGTAGACACTTGGGAGATTTCTCAGACTCACCGATCCATCTCATCAGAGAGGTCAAGATCTGCAGGTACTTCGTCTTCTGGACATCAAAGAAGGTGAAGGGACCGAGGAGGACAGTGAAGATAGCCTGGGGATGAGAGGGGCAATGAGAAAGTATGTGGAGGCGGACACACGGGGCAGGCTGTGAGGGGACCGCAGCCTGTGCACAGAGCTGAGGCCCCGCAGTAACACAGGTGAACACTCAGACTCACTGACAGAGCCTCCCTGGGGCCTGTCAGAGTCACTGAAGATGAGTACCAAGGGCTAGGCAGGATGAGAGAGCCAGAGCCTCCTGCTCGGATGTCACTGCCACATCTAGGCAAGGCCCAGGCTTCATCCTGAGACCTCCACCCAACCCATTCTGCTGACTTCAGTAGGCACTGATGGGGGAGCCTCAGGTCCAGCAGTGAGCTGTGCAGAGTGTGGGTCAGGAATAAAACAGAAGTGAGGAGAACCATTAGGGCCCTCGCCATCACGGGCAAGAGAAGACAGAGGTGGATAAGGATGCCATCTTTCAACAAGGATTGGAAGGCAGGGGACAAGAGCTAGAGCTGCTGGGGCCATGTAGGGAAACGTCCGGATTAACAGCGAGGGCTCATCTGGAGTGGGGCTGGGAAGCAGCTGAGCCAGTCGATGCTCACCCTGGGTTCAGTCCCCAGCACTGCACACACCACACGTGGTGGCACACACCCGTTACCCCAGGCCCACTGCTCCAGCTCTCTGAGGGTCATCCTCATCCACTCAGAGGTCAGGGGTGGGAAGTGAACTGCCTGTGACCCGGGTGCCTGTGGTAGCAGCCCCTTAGTTTCCTTTGCTTTGGAGAACAAGGGAAAATGCTTAACTTAAAAAAAAAAAATCAAACCCTGCTTTAGACTGCTGCCCTGTGGGGTATGTAATCCCTTTATAAAGAACACAGGGTTGGGGGAGATACGGTGTTGTCTCAGAGGGGGAGGGGCTGCGCTTTCCATGCCACACTGGCTGCTCAGGAAGCAGAGGGACTGACTAAAACCTGCTCCTTGGAGTTAAGATGGTACCATTTCCAATCTGCCACTCGGAAGCCTGCGGAACATCAGCCCTTATTAACATTTACACCGCGCCATTTCATCACGCGGATGCTGATGACACTCACCAGAGATGCAGCATAAGGTGGGGCGGCAAGAAGCCTCAGGAACCCGGGAGAGCGGCCTGCCTCCGGAGGGAGCTGGGCTCTGGCCCTATGAGCTATCGTGGGCTGCCAAGTAGGGGGGAGGCGGACCAGACAGTTCCTGTGACAGGCAGGGGGGAGCTCCTGGGTGGGGGAGCCCATTCCACCCTCTGTACAAGGAGGGCAGGAAGTAGGGGAAGCTGTGACCTCTTATCCAGGTCCATTATCTCTGTGAGAATGAATGACAAGATTCCAGAGTCGCCTAAGAAAGGCTCTAATTAGCTGGGCTGGGTGAAGGCACCCTGGCAGTCACTAGGGCTGGGAGATTTCTGAAGAGAAGGTCTTTCTGCTGGGAGACTCTTCTCATCAGGAAAAAGGGGCTAGAGAAGCATTTGTTTAGGCCTGGGTGACAGCAGAAGTCAGGGGAAGAGACTATCTGTGAAAATAAAGGCAGGTGTCTGTGTAGCCAAGGCAGGAAAGCTGGACCATAGTAAGATATGTGCACACCAGCTTCCACCACTGGTCGAGCCTTATGCGGCACCATTAGTAAGTCATTTAGGAAAATTACCACTTTCAGGAAAACTTTCCATTGATGAATTTCTCTTTTGAAGCAGAGAAGGGGCTGACAGGGAGATGCATAAACACAAAATGTATCCAAATGGCTTTGGTCTCTTGGGAATTTGGCTCTTTGTAGGCCCTGGGGCGGGGTCGGGGGTGGGGGTGGGGGTGGGGACTAGGCAACTCAGCTCTGACTTGTGCTGTCTCCAGCTGCAAGCATGGTGTCCAGCTGTGGAAGCCAGAAATCTTGGGGTGGCTCATGCGGAAGGTCAGAGGTCACATAGAGTATGAAGCCTGATCTTTAGAATGTTCTATCGCATAAAAACAGTATGAAGGAGTGCAATTGTTCTGGAAGGCAGGGTCATCCTCCAGGGGCCCTTGCACAGACTCCTCATCTACCTTCTTCGTTCTCAGTGCACTTGTAAAGACATGATATACCCCGTCTTGTGAAACACTATGGGTGGACTCTTAGGCGCAGAGGGTCCCTGGGGCCAACTGAGTGACCGAGTCAGAATGAGGATCCACCTGCTCAGGGTTCCATGTTTAGTCCAGACACTGGGTCTGTCCCAGGAACGAGACCTGATGGTAAAGTGCTCCTTTAGGAGGACTGAGCTCCAGCTGGGACACTAATAGCTGGGTAGTGGCAGTTTTCTTTCCATAATCAGGGACACAGACCAGTCTCACTGCTGAGGAAGTTCAGGGCCCACTGAGTCCCAGGCAGCACAGCAGCCCCTGTGTGGGGAAGCGAGCTCACTCTGCAGAGGGAGCGCAGATGAACTAGGCAACCTGGAGCCCGGCTAACAGATGAACAGGAGTCCTTTGCGAATTAGCTCAAGCCAGAAGCAAGCAGCTGCAGCAGTGGGCCATCCCAGGGACAGGACGGAGGATGGAAGTGGCAGTGGGAAGATGGAGGTTTGCTGGGGTCTAGCAGGGCAGAATCTACCACTGAGTGAGCACCAGCCAGATGACGTGTGTTCCCTTTTCCTTTTACAGAAAGACGAGAGAGATAGCCAAGAGACAGCCTATCCTCTTGGGTCTTCCAGTCTAGCCCATATGACATTATAAATTAGCTGGCTCCTGAGCAAATCTTCCAACCCCCAAATGCCATTGATCAGTTCCAACTCAGTTTCTGTTCAAGGACTCTTGTCACCCCCTCATTACAGAAAGCCGGGACACTGATCACGGCAGCCAAGTGTGTTTCTTTAAAAAAAAAAAGAAGAAAAAGGACCAGCAATGCTTTGATTTCTAATGAAATCTTCAAGCTGGTTTCTGGGAATAAAGTCTGAGACAGACTGGGAGGGGGCAAACGGGGCCACTCGAATCTCTCTTTCTGGGTCAGTGAGTTTTGCTGCGTACCAAAGGCCGCACAGCAGCCTTGCTGGAGCCGTGATGGACATGAGGGCAGCTCCTTTTCCCAAGGCACTGCAGGCAGCACTCAGCCACTGCTTTTTCAGAACATTCTGGAGTCTACTGTTTATCAGGGCTGTCTGTCTCCCCGTGTCCCCAAGCAGGTGACAATCACCCGAGCTGCTCAGGTGATAAGCGTCCAGCCACCTCTAACCTCTTGCCTAGATCAAGGCTAACATAACAAATTCCCCAGATAAGCAGCTCCAAGCCACAGAGACTTCCCAAAGCCAGGGGTCCTACATAGAGCCAGGCTTCCAATGGTGCAGCAGAGCGCCCCCTACAGGACAAAGCCACACACAGTGCATAGACCAAACATAAGGCTGCCAGAAGCTGAGTTTCTCCAACAGAGATCTCCTGGCCTGCACCGTGGGCTCTGTCCCCTGGACACAGGCCAGGGACTGGAGTACCTGGGGCAGGTGCTGACAGCCTTACCCGGGCTAGGCCGGGCTCTGTGGAGTTGTGTGGAATCCAGAAGTGCCAAGGCTTCCAACTCTGGTTCTCAAGCCTAACACCATGACCCTTTTATACAGTTCTTCATATTGCGGTGACCCCCAACAACAAAATTATTTTTATTGTTACTTCATAACTGTAATTTTGCTGTTATGAATCATAATGCAAACATCTGTTTTCCAATGTTCTCCTGTGAAAGTGTCACTTGAGCCTTGAAAGGGGGCGAGACCCATAGGTTGACAGCCGTGGTTCTCCCTGGAGCCTCCTGTGGTGGCCTGAGTATGCCTAGCTCCTTCACTCTCTCTTACGGTGGTCCTGCCTTAGGTGCCAGCTCTGGAGCAGGGGGTTAAACACTGTGCTATTGACAAGTGGATCTTAAATCAAGAGCACAGCCGTGGCTGAGCCACGGTCGCCTCTGGGTGGACCTCACCACACTTGGCATGCGCTGAAGAAACCTCCAGCTCCTCTCAATCTTGTCTTCAACAAAATGGGGCATACTGTCTGCTGTTTAGAAGGGAATACACAGGTGGCAGTCTACACTGTAGCACCAACTACACGGTGTGACACCTATTTTCCCTGTCCCCAAATCTCCCTGGCCAGAGAAACAAAACAAACCACACGTTTGGTGTCAATCACAAACTGCTTCTCCCATTAGAGCTGCAGAATCTCTCGGGTCCCACAGCCAGACAGGAATCTGTCACAGCCTCAGCCTTCCGGTCCCCATTCTCATCACTCCTCCCCTATCAAAGTCACCCTGTGATGACGTCACTGCTCAAGGCCACAGGCGCCTTCACATCTGCAGAGCACCCACATGGGTGGCTTTCCTCACTCGTCTGCAAGGTCGTCAGAGCAGGTGGAGGCCCCGAATCTGACCGAGGAGACAGAGGGACTGGAGAGGTTCAGGAGCAGAGGAAGAGAGTTGCAGGCATCTCTTGACACAGCCCAGCTCTCTCTCTGCAAACCCAACTCGCTGTGTCCATCTCGTAGAAGGCTGTTTTCCTCTGCCCTCTCCTGTGACCCACCAAGCTAACCTCTACCTTCATGCCTTTGCCCTCTGGACCCTCCTGATGTCAGAGAACCTCCTCTCTCTGGCCCCACCTTCAAAGCTCATTCAAATGCCAGCCTTCTCTGCAGTTCCTCCAGGGCTCGTGACTACATCAACAATGCTCGGGTGGCACCGCATGACTTCTGTCCTGCAAGGAACAGGGCTCCTGCATCCTCAGCAGGAGAGGCAGTATGCTGAGGGCAAGGGCCAAATCCTTGCTGGTCTAATGTCTAGAGATGACTGCACACTTGACACGGTTAGGCATGAACGAGTATTTGTGTGGGCTGTGCCGTGCTGGTGCTCGGTGAAATGCTGGAAGGAAGGCGGCACCACTGTGCTGGAAGAGACGCAGCCCTGGCTTAGCTGATTTGCTTTGTGACCCCACCCCACCTAGCCTTCCTGCCAGGAAGCTACGCAGAAGTACACCTGCTCTGTTGAAAAGACAACCACCATATTGGGGGAGGGGAATCTCTTTCCAAACACA